GAAGCAGGGAGCAGGCCTGAGGCTGTTGGGGTGCTCGGAGGAAGACGGCCAGGTGCTCGTCTGGCGTCCAGGAGAGGGGCTGGACGGGCACCTGGGACCAGGGCTCCTGGCCTTTGCGTGAACTTCCTCCCCAGAATGCAGCTCTGTGGGGGCAGGAACGAGGGGGCGCAGCCAGGGTACACTGGCCCGAGGTGGGGGGAGACGTCCCGGTTCTCAGCAGAGGCGACTGCCAGTGTCCCAAGGGAGGGGCTGCTTGGTGTCCAGAGGAGGAGACGCAGATGCAGCTTGGTCAGGGCGTGTGCCCGCGGCGGCCCCAGGTGGCACCCCAGTGGTGGCCAGGAGCCAGCTCACGCACAGTCGTCCAGGGCAGAGTAAATACTCTGGATTTTTTCCCAGGGCAATGGGGAGTCTTTGGAAGGTGATAAGCAGGGAAGAGACGCAGTCGGGTGACCCTGGTGCTGCGCCCGAGGTGGGGGATGTGGCCCTGGCAGCCTCACAAGGCCGGTCAGGGAGGTGGCCAGGCAGGCTGACTTCACCCTATGCCCCTGAGGACCTGGAAGTGGGTCCGGGCTAGCACGGAGGCAGGGCTGTGTGGGCCCCCACTTGGGGGCGATGGGAGGCCTAGGCCGCCCCTGAGCTGGCCTCTCCCCCGCACCCCCACAGGCCTGGGCTTGTGTTTCAGCTTCCAGTCCAGCATCACCGTGCTGGGCTTCTACTTCCACCGCCGGCGGCCGCTGGCCAATGCTCTGGCGTCTGTGGGTGTCTCCCTGGGCATCACGCTGTGGCCACTGCTGTCCCGTTACCTCCTGGAGGACCTCGGCTGGAGGGGCACCTTCCTTATCTTCGGTGGGGTCTTTCTCCACTGCTGCGTCTGTGGGGCCCTCCTGAGGCCCGTGGCCACCAGGGTGGCGGCCGCTAAGACCAGCGACGTCCCCCACCTGCCTTCCAAGACACCCGCTCCTGGCTGCCTGGCCGCGTGTGGCCAGACCATCCAGCGCCATCTGGCCTTCGACATCCTGCTGCACAACACCGGCTACCGCGTGTACACCCTGGGCGTCGTGTGGATGATCCTGGGATTCCCGCTGCCACACGTCTTCCTGGTGCCGTACGCCATGAGGCACGGGGTGGACGAGCACAAGGCGGCCCTGCTCATTTCCATCATCGGCTTTAGCAACATCTTCCTGCGGCCCTTGGCGGGGCTGCTGGCCGGCCGGCCCAGACTTGCCAGCCACCGCAAGTACCTCTTCACCTTGGCCACCTTGCTCAACGGGCTCACCAACCTGGTGTGCACGATGTCGGCCGACTTCCGCGTGCTGGTGGGCTACTGCCTGGTGTACAGCGTGTCCATGAGTGGCGTGGGCGCCCTCCTCTTCCAGGTCCTCATGGACCTCGTGCCCATGGATCGTTTCTCCAGTGCCCTGGGACTCTTCACCGTCCTGGAGAGCATCTCCATCCTCATCTCCCCGCCCCTGGCTGGTGAGGCCCTGGGAGGGAGGGCGACCTGGTGGGCTTGGGCGTGAGCGGGTGGGCCGAACCTGGGGTGGGGCGGAGGAGAAGCGTCAGGACAGGTGGAGCTCAGTGTCAAGGGACTGGAATCTGGGGTTTCCTGAAGCACCTCTGGGGACTGGCTACAGCCTGATTCCCAACTGGCATGAGGGCTGTGAAGAGTTCAAAATAGGGTTTGCATAGCAGACCTACCTGAGTCCTTCATCTTTCTGTCTACACCTGTGTCTCCCTGTCAGTGAAGTGGGGGTGACACTAGAGTCCACCTGGGAGGCTTGTGCAGCAGAGAGCTAAGGCTCGTAAGTGCTTTGTCACTCCCCCACCTGGCCAACAGTCTGCCGGGGACTGGGCAAGTCACCTTCTCTCAGCCACAGTGTCATCTGCAAAATGTAGAAGAGAACCTGCCACAGCCCCATGCCCCCATGCCAGTCACTGGGTGGGCATGGCTGAAGGCGGAGGGGAATTCCTTCCTCTCCTGGCGGGAGATTTAGAAATCAAAGGGGGGACCCCTGTGTGCTCCCAGCGGTGCTTTGTGCCTGGAGGGCAACGGGCCGGGAAGCAGCAACCCACATGAGAGCAGGACATGGGGAGGCCATGGGGAGGCTGGCAGTGCCTCGGGCTGCAGGCAGTCACGACCAGTGGATATTACAGGAAGACAGCGGGCACTTTTCCAGGGCTGGCAAGGAGTTCCCAGTCTCAAGGCTATTCCCAAGCCAACAAGTGGGGGTAGCGATCCAGGAGAAAATGCAGGTGGGGCCGGAGCCTGGCTGAGCAGTGACCCCAAACTCCACCGATGCCCTTGTCCTGGACTTCCCGCCGGCAAGGGCAGGGGTGCTGTGCCTCGAAGCCTCCTCCATGTGAGGCTGCTTCCTGGCAAGGCCAGAGCCGGTTTCCTGTCTCCCGCTCCTGCTCTTATTCAGGAGATGTCGCCGAGTGCCTGCCTGCTAGGTGTGACCACAATTCCCGTCCTGGGGTCAGGCAGCAACATTACAACCCCTGCCTGGCTGAAAGCCATTTAGTTGGGAGAGCCCGGTGGCTTGAGGCAGTGACCTGACTTGCTCGTGTCCCCTAGGCTTCCTCCTGGACACCACCCATAACTTCAGCTACGTTTTCTACATGTCCAGCTTCTTCCTCATCTCAGCTGCCCTGTTCATGGGCGGCAGCTTCTGTGTCCTGCAGAAGAAGGAGAGCCAGGGCAAGCCTGCCGAGGCAGAAGCGGCCAGCAGGGGTCTCCCCCCGCAGGGCACAGACAGTTCCGAGAAACGGCTGTGCGTGGAGGCCGCATCTGTGACCAGCGTCTAAGTCCTGAGGTCAGTGCGTGACCTCTGCCTCGGACCAGAGTGGGTGTCCAGCTGCTGCTGCTGCACCAGGGCCTGGGATGGAGAGCTGCCCAGAAGACCCAGGCCTCAGGCTGGCCAGGCCCTCTGCATCAGGACATAGCCAGGAGCGGGGGCCTTGGAGGCTGCCTCCGAAGACTCAGAGTTCCTGCCGACCAGCGGAATCCAGGAGCTGGTCCTCCTGACAGTGTTGCTTGAGCACCAGCTTCCTGGGGTGTGGGTCAGGCCCTGCTGGAGGCTGCCCCAGCACAACTGTTGCTATGACTCAATACACTGGCCCTCTAGTCCAGCCGGCTGCCTCCCATGTGATCTCTTTGTCCTTCTCTAGCTTCCAGATGGTTCCAAAAGGAGCTCACCCCTCCTCTGCCGCCCCCATTCCCAGACCACCCCGCCCATGTCATTAGGGCAACCAAGGCTGGAGCTTTGGCGGCCACACACCGACTAGAACTCTGGGAAGAAGGGCCTTGTGAGAGCCAGTCGTGACCTGTGGTGGTGGAGGGCCGGGCTGGAGAATCAGGATTAAATGTTGGGTGGATCCCCATCTTATCCCCTGGGCGGAGAATCAGAGGGGAGCCCCAGTTTGGGTCCCAGCATCAGTCAAGTGTGAGGGGTACCCTGCACACTCAGCGGGCCCTGGTCCAGCACCTTCTTCTCTGCATCTTTGGAGAAAAGATGAGGGAAAGCCATGTAGGTAGTGAGGTAGGGTGAGGGGTGCTAGGCAGGCCCCAGGCCCTCTATGGAAATGGAACCAGGGCAGTGAACCTCCCCTGTCTGCCTTGTCGGAGTGTCAACCCTAGAGAAAGTAGCTGTTGGCCTGTGCTTGAGGCCTGGAGGTCAGAGCTCGCCCATACGCAGGTTTTCGCGGGTGCCCTTCCCTGAGTTCATCATCCGGGGGCTGGCTGTCATTGGCTCAGGAATGGGGATGGAAAAACAGAGTTTGTTTGAATTTGACAGAAAAATGCTTCTTGCAGCAGGTTATAAAGCCTGTGAGCTAGTGAAACTGGAGAACAGGCCTGGAGTGTTTCTCCTTCCCTCCCTCTTCAGGTCTGCAGCTCAGCAGGGGCAGGTCTGCCCGGAGCTTTGTTTGTTGATTCAGGCTCAACCAGGCTCCAACAAGAAAACCTTCTCAAGAGGATCCATTTTATTTATATGACCCAACAGCAGCTCCGTCCCCTCCAAGTTCAGCAGGCAGCGTCAACATCCTTGGGGACGCCTTGTCTTCCCAGGGCCCTGCCACGAGTGCCCCCACATGGCCTAGGGCGGTATCGCAAGGGCAAACCACCATTTGCTGCTGCCTGCCTTTGGCAAGCTGTTCATCTCTAGGCCTTTCAAAAGGAGGTTGGCCTGGATAAGCCAGTCTCTCCCAGCTTGGGAGGTGTCCTCCCGAGGCCTGGGATTGCCTTCCTGCTCCTCACCCAGGTCTGTGCTTGGATGAGTTTATGTACAGTTTAAGTACTGTGGTGGTGGGGGGGGATGCTTATGATGTCATTTTTGGAGTTGATGGGTTTAGAGATAATCCCTTCTACCCCATCTCTTGGCATTGTGTGAGCCAGGTTTCTGGGTTTTTTCCCCCCAGTTTTTCTATTCTTATCCTTCATCACTTGGACTTGTTTCACCAGGTTCTAGCACCTCCACCTTAATGGAATGGAAAAGGAGGGAGTTGGGGCTGGGACAGCTGAATGCTTTTGGTGCTGGTCACCAGGCTTTGACATGTGCATCTCCTAAATGTCACTTTCTGAAAACATTCCTTTTAAGGAAAAAAATAATCAGTGAACATTAAGTATAAGGATCTTTGATCTCACTCTCTGGGTGAGAGTGACAATAATCTCTAGACAGTAGCCCTTCAAGACATGCTGCTGAGTGCAAAGCTTGGCATCCACTGTGTGCCGAGGACTGGAAAGAGGCGACTGGAGAAAGGCACTGTTTGCCTTCAGTACAAATCCTGGGACAAAGTGCTTCCCCAGGAGGAGGCCATCTGATTTCGGCATCCCCACCTGGCTGGGTTCTATAGTGTGGGGCAGTTCCTAACCAGCACAGGCCAAATGCACTTCTTTTCTTAAAGATTCATTTATTTATGCATACAGAACTGTGGTGCAGGCCAGAGGTGCAGGGGTGGTGAGGGAAGTCACCAGAGACAGCCAGGAACAAAACAGGCAGACTGACAAAGTACACTGCTGGGTGGATCAGCGGATGGTTAGGAGAGGTCTGCCTGGCCATGCAGTTCACCTCCCTGGCCTGGGATTGAACTGATGCTAAAGCAGCTGCGGGTAGCTTCATAGTGCTGCGCTTAACCAGTAGCGCCACCAGGGAGGGCCCCAAAATGCACTTCTATGTTGTCTCTGAGCCCTGAGCTCCTGGTCCCCAGGCCTTCGCTGCTCTGTCTAGCCAGAGGCAAAAGGGAAGCCATGCACAACTCCATCTCCCACACCCGCTAAGAAGTACATCCCAGCTCTCATCAGCTCCCCACAGAGCCCGACTATTGTACTGCTCCCCACAGAACTACTGCTCCCCAGAGCTCCACTAAGGTACTAACTCCCTTTCGGGGCTGTGCATAGGGCAGGGGCTGCCCCAGGGACCTGAGCCCATATAGGCAGGCCTGCCCCCAAGGGCACCATAGTCAGCTGGAGTATCAGCTGGAGTATGGCGGCTACTCTGCCCTTTGCCAGGCCCAGGGCCAAAGGCATGGGGTGCTTGCCCTCAAGAAATTCACAGCCCAAGTCTCGGAACCCCAAGCATGACGGGAGCGAGGCAGGGCCACCTCATGGCTGTGCGGCACATGTCTAAGAGGTCTCAGTCAATCACCTTCCTGAGAAGTGGGCGGAAGGGCTCCTGAATCCTGGGCTCGACTCAAAGGCTGCCAAAGTGAAATATCTGTGTAAACCGCGGCTCCTTCCAGGGCCAACGGCGAGCACGGGCGCTCCGGTTCCCCGGGCTGACCCATTCCCGGGATTTCTCGACTGGACTCGGGGATTCAGATCCACACTGGGGAGCAGGGGTCACCGGCCTTTTGGGAGGTCGTGTCAAGGAACCCGTGTCGCCGGGCTGCAGAGGGGTGTCCCTGAGTTGAGAGAGATGAACTACACCCCTCCCGCCAGGGGGCGGGCGCCTCGGTAACACCCGCGCAGCGCCGGCGCCGGGCAGCCCTCCCTGCAGACGCGAGTTCCCTCTGCACCAGCCGCGCGGAGCGCAGCGGGCTACGCCTGCGCGCGGAGCTCGGGGAGACCCCGCCCCTTCCGCATCTGGGGCGGGGCCAGGCGTGGCTTCCGCCGGAAGCCGGAACTCGGCCGAAAACCAAAATCAGATGTTAGTTTGGACCGCGCGCTTCTCTCTGCCTCACGGCCGCGTCCTTGGCTCGGGCGCCCCAGTTGAGACTTGACGCCCAACTTTTACTATACCCTGAGGCCCACTCCTCTCCCCACATCCCGCTCATAGCTGCAAGTCCCTGCGGAGCCCGAACCCAGGAAAAGACCCCTTTGCCCGACCCGGCCCGCCCGGGCCCGGTGAGCGGGTAGCTCGACGCTCGGCCTCATCTGACACTCTGGCCCTTCTCCCGGGGATCCCGCCGCCCCACCCATGGCCCAGAAGCCGAAGGTAGACCCCCACGTCGGGCGGCTGGGATACCTGCAGGCGCTGGTCACGGAATTCCAGGAGACGGAGAGCCAAGGTGAGAGCGGCAGGGTCGGGGGTCAGGGGACCGGCCGGGGCTAGGTCGCCCAGGACCCGGCTCCAGTGTCGCTTTCCCGGTGCAGACGCCAAGGAGCAAGTCCTGGCCAACCTAGCCAACTTCGCCTATGACCCCAGCAACTACCAGTATCTAAGGCAGCTGCAGGTCCTGGATTTATTCCTCGATTCGCTGTCGGAGGAGAATGAGACCCTCGTGGAGTTTGCTATTGGTAAGAATGGGACCGGCCCCCCACATGCCGGTGGGGTCTGGGAGATTAAACGTGATTTGTCAGAAAGGAAGCAGCTCCTCAGCTGCAAACCTTCGAGTGTCTGTGTATGTCATGGCCAGCTAGCTACTTTGAGAGTTCTGGAGCTCACTGCCCAGGCTCTCCCCCTGCTTAGGGAAGAAGTCATAAATAAGGAATAGGTTGAAGGTACTTGGAGGGGAAATGTTTAGTGCTCTTAAAAAAAAAAAAAGTTTTTACTTTAAAATTTTAAAAAAGATTTATTTATTCATACAAGGACTGGAGGGGGGTAGATTCACCTTCATCCTCTGGTGAGAGGATTCACCAGAGACAGTGGGGAGCAGAACAGGCAGATCCACTGAAATCCACTGCTGGGGAGAAGGGGGAGGTGCTGGGGGCAACAGCGAGACAGGAGAGGTCTGCTGTGCCCTGTGGGTCACTGCCTGGCCGGGGATCGAACTCAGGCTGCAGTGGTGATAGCTTCTAGTGCTGAGACTTGACTCCTTGCGCCAGGGAGATCCCTTACTTTAAATGCTTAATATCAGCAGTCGTAGAGGTGACTTGTACGGGATATGTAGCTGATGGCTCCAGTAATTGGTGTGGTCTGGGACCTGTTGACTTGCTACGCATGTACTGTGTGAGCAACATACGTTGTAAATGCTGGAGAGAAGGCGAACAAACTGGGGGGATGGCTGCACCGTCAAGGAGCTTTCCATCCTGATTGGGGAGACAGGTGAAGACTCTGAAGGGATAAACAGAACCGTGAGACGGAGCAGTAGGAGAAGGGGCTTCCACGCTCTTTGGCAGAGGCACAGTGCGGGCAGAGATCCAAAAGCCAGCGAGCCAGGAGGAATGCTGGGCCAGCGCCACCCCGGGGAGAGGAGCAGAGCGAGGCTGGGGGTGAGGTCAAAGGTCAGCAGTCCCAGAACTTACAGATGCCCAGATAGAGGCCTTGAAAAGAGTTTGACATTCGAACCAGAAACAAAGCTTTTTTTAGCATGCGACTTTGGAAAGTAACACCCCGCAGGGTGAAAGGAGCTAGATCACTGGAAGGAGCCAAGTTCACTGCAGTGAAAGGAACCGTAACTGCCTGGGGAAAAGAAGCCTTTAGTGTTACAGCCGTGAGCATCTGGGAATGCCCGTTTCTCCAGCAGTTCCTGGAAGAGTATTTTTGTTGGTTTGAATAAGTCCGGATCCAGTCCAGGATTCATGCATATCAAGTCGTGGCTGTTCCTGAGACCTCACTATCTCTTTTTAAAATAAACCTTGTGTTTTAGAAACAGTGCAAGGTAACGGAGTCCTCATACACTCCGCACCCAGTTTCCTCTCTTACTGGCCTCATAGGGTACATTTGTTAGCAATTAACAAACCAGTGTGGACACATTATTATTAACTGAAGTTCATACTTGGTCCCTAGTTTCCCCCTCATGGCCTTTTACTGTTTCAGGATCCCGGGTGATGACCGGAACACCTCATTGAGGCAGTGCCTGAGGGGGGTCGCCACCGAGAAGTTCCTCTTCCGCTATCCCCCCTTTCCATTCTGTGCTCTTCGGCAGGAGGTTTCTACATATATTATCTTACATCTCTTTAATCGTTATCGGGCCCTTTCTTCATAACAGACATTGTTGAGGAATCCGGCCCCCTTCTGTGGAAAGTCCTGCCTTCTGGGTTATCTGGCTGCCTTTGTGTTGCTGTTTAGCTTGTTCTGTCAGGCTGTCTCTGTGACCTAGATGGTAGATGGGAAGACTTGATAGACTCGAGCAACTTTTTGTCATTGGTTGTGTCACAGTGTGACTGAAATTTTCGAGACACCATCCAGTCTGCCCTTGATGTTTGTGTACAAATGAGGGTCACCTCTTCTCACCACAACAGGCCTCACACACTGTGGACATCCCAGCCCTGTTTGGACACAGCTGCCCTGTAGCCATCTTCTGGATCTGGAGATGTGGGCTTCATGTTGGCCGCCAGCATTCAGAGGAGGCTCATGAAGCTGTGGGAGCAGGTTTGGGGCTTGGGACTCCCTGGACTTGGTCCTAGGGTACGAGCCACTGTGGGGGCCTCTAAAGCTGAACCAGGGCAGGAGCCCCATTTGCCCAGGCCTGGAGTGATGGCGACTTGTGTCTCTGCCCCTCTGGGAGATGATTATCAGTGTTCCTCACAGGCGGTCACTGCGGTGCCTTCGCCCACTGGCCTCCTCAGGTGTCAGTCTCCATCACTCCCTTTTTGTGGCCTGGCCCCACAGCTCTCTGCAGGGTGTGGGGCTAAACCTCCAGGGACAATGATAGAGTCCTTCCAAGTCCAGGTTTTGACTCTGCTGAAAAGGAACAGTCGTCCAAGAAAAGCTTTTGCAAGGCCAGGAAATCACTTCCCCCAGGCGGAAGCATTCTGACACTCTAGCTTGCCGAGCTGGCCACTGTGGGAGAGGCGGGGGCCAGGCTTGGGCCAGGCGTGGGCGCTTGCTCTCCAAGAAGCTTTCCAGAGTGGGCGGCCGAGTCCTGCACCCAGATCCCCAGGTCCCAGCTTCTCCCCTTCTGGCTGATTCCTGTGGCCCAGTGCTGCATCTTCTCTGCACCTGGTTTCCCTGTGCACCTCGCAGGACCATCAAAGGGTGAGGTGTGTGTGCCCGCATCTGGGTCTTCCTGAGGCACTTGTCTATAGTTGGTAGTTTCTGTCCTTCTCCCAGCTGCTTTGCTTTCTCCTCCCCTTCCCATCAGAACAAGATGGCACTTCCCCAGTGCCAAGAGCCGTAGCTTCTCAACACCAAATTCCTCCGTGGAACATAACTTAAAGGGAGAGGCCCTCTGGAACTTAGTGGTGCTTTTGCTTTCTTATAATGTCTCTGGCACTTAGCGGGCGGCCCTGAGAGTGAGCCCAGCCTGGCCCGTGTCTGATGACCTGAAGGCCCAGGCTTCAGGGCTGGGGGAGAGAAGAGGCATGGAGGGTGGGCCCGTGGGTACAGGGTCCTGGCATCTCTTGCTGTCACCTGAGTGGGGCTGGTTCTGGAATAACTGGCAAGGAGGAGAGCTGGGTAGATTGCTCACGGCCGTGGCTTGTGGGACCAAAACCAACATCCATTTGTTGATAGGGTGCATAGTGAGTGTGCTCAGAGCTGGCCCTTGGGGGCAGGCAGGCTGAAGTCCCTGGCCCCCACTCTTAACCCCGGCTGTGATTTCCCTCCCCCACCATCGACCTGGTGGGCAGCATCAGCACGCTGGTGAGGGTAAGGGAGTTGGTGCTCTTTTCCCGTGAGCGTCTGCAGCTGTGGGAACCCTTCACTGGGAACCGGGTATCCGAAGTCTCTGAGGGTCAGTAGTTCCCTCTTCTCCCAGAGGTGAGGTGATGGGATAATGTCCAAGGGGTCCCCCACTCTGGGCGCTGGTTCCTTTCTTTGTGAAGAACATCCCTGAGTGGCAGGGGAAGCTATGAAAGCTCCGTGCCCCCCCGCAGTGTCCAATGGTCTGGGACAGTAGAGTGTGAGTCTCGGCGGGCCACAGTGGGCTGGCTGCGTCTGTCTCAGCGCCCTTCCTCGCCGGTTCCCATGTGGTCAGCCCGAGGTGAGACCTGCTTTCTTTTTGTCTCTGCGCCCTCTCAGGGCTGCGTCTCCCCAGCGCCCTGCTTTGGCTTCTGTTGGTTGTGGCGGCAGGCCTGGACATGGTGAGCAACGTTGTGAGAGCTGGCCTCCCTGACCATTGTCTCTGTGGGGTCCTCCCTCCACAGGGCCCTGCTCGCCAGACCTGTAGTCCCAAAGAAGACTCCAGCTGTGGTGACTGCAGCTCCATGCGGGCTGTCCAGTCTCCTGCCCCCTCCCCTGTCGGCCTTGTCTCGTGGACACGCCCATTTAGAGCAATTTAGAACAAGGGTCTTTGTACCCTTTGGCTGCGTTCCTGGTGGCCTCCTCCACCAGGGACAGGACTCTGGGCTGGGAGCTGTTAGCGCCGAGCTGCCTCTTCTGATGCTTACACCATGCCCACCACAGGCAGCACCCGTCACCTGTACTGGCACTGCCTGCAAGGTCTGAACCTTCGCCACCCACCGGCAGCAAGTGCTGGGCTGTCTCCACTGGAGGAAGCAACTCCAGTGAGCTTAGGTCCATTGACCCAGGCTCACTGTCAGTCCTGGCTCCGAGTTTGGCCTCTGAGTAGATGGCCTCTGAGACCAGATTGACTTTTTGTGTTCTGCTTCCTGCAATACACGTAGCTGCCACCAGATGGTGGTGGTGCACAGGAAAAGCTGGTAAAGCCTCAGCCCCAGCTGAGGTGGGTGAAGGTGGAGGCCCCTGTGAGTTCAGGATTCCACCCCATCCTCCCCATCTGTAACCCCTGCTACGCCGAGGAAGTCACTGCTGCTGCAGTGTAATGCTGGTCAATACTGCCTGGCAAGAGGTACTGAAGGCCACCCCTCCCCGCCCAGCACACAGAATTTGTGGAGCTGAGCATCTTAGCCCAGCGCCAAGCTGTCCGTGTGTGCTACGTGCAGCTGGTAAGCTTGTCTCTGTCGGACTGGCGACGCCTTTTGTGCGGAACACCAGATCACGCCAGTTCTGGTCAGTGGCAGCACAGTAGGGGACGGGGACTCCTCTAAAACTGAGAGGGAAACCCAAGCTTAGGGTGCAGCTGGGGGGTAACTCGGACTGCAGCAAAGAGGCCAGCCGAGGACATCCTCGAGGAATACTTCAGACGCAGGAAATGAACACATTTTTAAAGTTGGTCAGCTTTCCCCTAAACAAACTAGAAACACTCCCTCAGTGGGAGGGAGTGTTTAGCTCGTTTGAAGGTGGCCTCCCCAACAGTTCCATGATAAGCTAAGAGCTCATGCACCTCCAAACACAGGCTGTAACACTGACGACCGCCGCCTTGGAGTGGAGGCCAGTGCTGTGGGAGACCGTAGGTGAGCGTCACAGGCCCCGCGGTGGTCTTGCGAGCAGCGTTGGCAAACAGTGCCAGACACATCGTAAGAGGCAACGTGATTCCACTCGTGTGAACAGT